CTCCTATTTCAATAGGGCTAAGCGCTTGCATGGAAAAGTACCTGCAATATATTTACAAAAAGGTAAGCTCAGAGATTACAAAGTTAATATTGAGAAAAGAGTGAAACGATCGCCTACTTGTTATAGATAGACATCGCATCTTCGAGAGATTCCTCGTCGGAGAGTGAATCGTAATTTGTTTCGAAAGCAGCACATGCTATTAAGAACTGCAGGCAATCGTAATCATGACGATCCTCGACAAACTAAAGACATACCAAACTTTTCACATCACTTTTCTTACCCAAAAAAGGGCTACCTCCAAAAACCGATTCAGCAAAGCTGGGACGTAGAGTATGTCATCGATACTACACCAGCGAGAAAAAACTTGCAGCTGATATTTCTTATAGTATACACTGTTTTCAAAATCTTTGAAATATCTGCAAATTAATGCTCTGTGATTGCCAAGGACATTAAAAGATAAAAAACTATTTCGGAAGATAACGAACCGTAGCTCAAGTAAGCTATGAACAAAGCTTTTCGCTTCATCAAACAGATCTGAAGAAATAGGTCGCTCCGAAAGTCTAGCTGTAACACAGTTACATTATGCGAAAAAGTGAGTGAGTTTCAAACAAAAAAATTCACCATATACCCGCTCTGATATCTTTTTCGGAAGAGATATGCTGCATACAGAATCCGTGTCAATATATTTGCTGAATATGTTGCGAGCGTCCAGAAGAGCTACTGCAATAATTCCTCTGTTCGATATTAGCACAATGAGAAAGCATCACAGTTTTTCTAGAGAAAATGGATAAGAACATGAACAGATATAAGTAGACAGGGCAACTATAAGCAATATCCTCAGGAATTTCGAAATATATGAATCTTAATCGATTTTTGTCGAGCCCTAACTTTGAATTACATAACTGCTATTGAGATTTCCAGAACGTTTCGATCTACAGCTCTAACACTAATTTATTGAGCAATACAAGTAACAGAAAGAGGTAAGGTTGTGTGTAATGGTAGGTGCCCACTCATCGAAACCGAAAATGGAGCAATAGCAAGTCCTATCAAAACACTTGAATAAGAGTCCCATTGGCAGAGATCCCAAGTAAATCCTGCTTACGGTGTTCATGAGCGAACGTGGTGACAACACCGTGAAAATTCTGAAAGCAATATGCGTTCACAACTCACGAGAATTTTCAGCGCTCTGTGAGCAACCTGCCCTCTCTTGTCCTAACGACGCTTTGAAGCCCTCAACGTGTATCCAAAACTTTATGAGATTCAATTTATCTGAAAACGGTGTTAGAGGTAATGTTCACAGAAGAATCTTTACAATCAGAACGGAAAAGTTGGGACGACCTTATAGGTAGTGTTTGCACCGAATAGATGTATAGAAATACCCGCAAAAACCTAAAACTAAAGTTGACTACTTCATGCAAGGAAGCTTCATGCCGCCCACATCAGCAGCACCAAGTCTTGATACGTTGCTCTGCGATTATCAGCTCTTTCGAGCATCAGT